AAAAATGTTACTGAGGCGCCTGGGTGGCTCAGTCAGTTAAGCGTCTGCCTTCAGCTCAGGTCACGATCTCAGGGTCCTGGGATCGAACCCCGCATTGGGCTCCTTACTCAGCGGGAAGCCTGCTTCTCCCTCTCCCACTCCCCCTGCTTGTGTTCCTGCTCTTGCTATCTCTCTGTCAAATAAATAAATAAAAATCTTTTAAAAATAAAAAAAATTTAAAAAATAAAATAAATCATTTTAAGGATGGTTTCCTCTTGGCGGGGGCGGGGAGGGCTTGTCCCTGCTGGCCTGCCTGCCTTCCCCATCCTTCATCACTGTGGAGGAAATCAATGGACGGAAGTGCTGGAGGGAAACCGGATGGAGGGAGAAGTCTCCTTTAGGTACAGTGGTCAGAGAAGGGCTCTTTAGGGAGGGCACATGCAGACAGGCCTGCGGATGAGAAGGGCCCCCCTATGATCAGCTGGAGGAAGAGTGTTTCAGAAGAACAGCAAGAGCAAAGGCCTAAGGCACAGCAGGGCACAGCAAGGTGAAGGACTAGGAAGTGTAACAAAAGTATGGGGAACATGGAGAGGGTACAGGATGAGTCAGGTCAGATCTCTTTCTCTGAGAAATACATATATTTATGTATAATTATATCATATTGATTATATAGTTAATGCTAATTAATAATTATACCAATTTTATAATGCTGTTTATATATTATATAATAATCTTTTTTAGATTGATCATATAATTATATATAATTTATATTTCTATTACATCATGTAATATATAATACATATATAAGAAAGATCAATTTGGGGGCGTGTGGGTGGCTCAGTCGGTTAAGCCTCTGCCTTTGCCTCAGGTCATGATCTCAGGGTCCTGGGATCGAGTCCCACATCAGGCTCCCTTGTTCAGCGGAAAGTCTGCTTCTTCCTCTCCCTCTGACCCCCCCACCCCCTCGTTTGCAAATAAATAAAATCTTTAAAAAATAAAATAAAAATAAAAAAGATTGATTTCGGGGGTGCCTGGCCAGTTCCGTTGGTGGAGCATGCCACTCTTGATCTCAGGGGTGTAGGTTCAAGCCCCACATTGGGTACACAGATTACTTAAAAAAAAAACTTTACCCCTGCTTGTGTTCCCTCTCTCGCTGTGTCTGTCAAATAAAATCTTTAAAAAAAAAAAAATCTTTAAAAAAGGCTGATTTGGGGAGGTCGGTGGGAGGATGGGGTAACTGGGTGATGGGCATTAAGGAGGGCACGTGATGTGATAAGCACTGGGTGTAATACGCAACTAATGAATCACTGAACATGACATCAAAAACTAATGATGCATTACATGTTGGTTAATTAAATTTAAAAAAAAAAGATGGATTTTGCCTTGTATGAAACCAGCTTATTCAAGACAAAATAAGTACACCTACTAAATTGCCTTAAAGCAACCCTAAGAAGAAGAAATTTTTATAAACTCCATTTTACAGATGCGGCACAGAGAAGTCAATTAACTTGCCCACTGGTCACACGGCTAGGAAGTAAAGTTTGGATGTAAACCAGGCAATCCCTCTCCCGTCCGCACGCTCCTAACTGCTATAACCTACTACAGCCAAGCAGCTTCAAGACCTGCACCCCGTCCAGTTCACAGCAAGCCGGCAGCTCGCAAATCCTTCCTAGACAGAATTCTGCAGCAGCGCGTCACTAGGCCGAAGTCTCCGAGGTCAGGGACCTTGGTTACGCATTCACAAGTTGCCCAAGGGGCAAGCCCTGTGCTTTGCACGAAGCGCACTCTCCATTTGTGTTAAATACAGACATAGTGGAATGCTGGGAAGTTCTCCCTGAGGTCTAACCTCGGGCCATTTCCCACAGCCGACAGAAGAGGGGACCTGAGCGGGGAGCCGAACCGCGACGCCTGCCACCAGTGGCCACCAGGTGTCGCCGCGGCGTCCCCGGAGCGGGAGGGCGGAGCGGCTGCACACTGGGAGCAGCATGTGGACGCTCGGGCGCCGCGCGTCTGCCGGCCTCCTGCCCCGCTCGGCGCCCCCGGGCTCAGCCCCGGCAGGCGCCGGA